TCTATGCTCGTATATGTTGTGGACTACCTATTTCGATAAATGGTTTGGTTTTATTTTGGTAAAAGTGACAACTAAATAATTTGTTAAATATGATATACGTTCACATGTAAAAACTAGACATACATAATGAACGCAAAAACATGGTGAAGTTGAAGCCACATACATTATGGGGACATTTACACATATAGACACTTTATTTCATACTCTTTTCATTAAAAGGTACTAGGTGATTCCCCGCATATAACGTATGAAACATTTGATCAATCTTGCAATGTCACATTTAAGAGAATGTCATGTCATATTAAAATTGGTGGATGACACTTAAGCAAATTTAAGAAAATGACTTCTCAATTAATGTATAAAAAGGCATTTTGTAAGGGAAGCATATTTTGACCTTGTGAATTCTCCTTTCTATCCTTCTAGTAACTTATCTAGTTATGTTTGTGATCAATTGTCGTTGGATTTCAACTAATGGATTTAGCAAAAAGAAACTGAAAAATTTTATTTTTAAAATCCCCTTTTTACAGATCTCACAAGAAGTAATTATTTTAGGAAAATTTGATCAAATAACCAAAAAAAAATATCCTAAAATCTAACCAAAACTATCCTACGTGGAAAATCTTATCCATTAGATTTAGGGTTTGTAGTTAGTTGTTTAGATAAATTTGTTTTTGTGGCTATTTGGCAAATTAACCCATTATTTTTTTACAAATCATTGGTTGTTAATTTAATCTCTAGGAAGGTGGATGCGTTCCGACTCAAGGGATTAAACCGTGATCGTCAACCTCCTGCTGGAATTAGGATTACGTTGTCCAAAGCATGGAAGTTGGAGGGTAGAAAGTTTTGTTTCCGTTGCGGAGCTTTAACTCAAGCTGAAAGTGAGTGTAATGAGGCACAACAGATTCAACCAATGTTTGAGGAACTGCCTAATCCTTATCAGATTGTTCCGCAAGAAGAAGGGTCAAAGCCATGATTAGATTCGCAGGCGGCAATTCAGAGGACGGCGTTTCCTTCGACGGTTTGCTCAGGATTTTTGGCTGCTGAAATGTTTGTTTCAATCTCCACCACCCATTTTCGAAAACAAATTTCAGTTTTGTCTGTTTGCAGTTTGCAGAGCTTTTTTTTTTATGTCCACCCTTGTTGCAACGATTCGTAAATTTGTCGATTGATGTCCTCTGCTCGATACATTCTAGGCTTATCTCAAACCATTGTTTTTGTTCATCTGTAACTTTTTTTGTACAATAGTTTATCTGAAAAATGGTTTTTAATTAAAAGTATAAACGTAAGTGCAAGCTTAAAAAATTGCTGGATAATAGTGGTACAAGAGTCCAATTGTAACTTTGGTTGACGTTGTCAATCTTTGGTAGGGTTTTAAGTAAACCACAAGTCTCTTTTTTTTTTTTAATGTTCAACTTCAAATCCCAGTTTGTGGAGCAAGGAAGTTTGATTAGTCTCATAAAAAATATTGAATGATCAACGATGCTTTCAAAAGTAATTAGACTGCTTATTGCTTAAAGCCTTGCTTTGGGGACCTTGAACACTCAAATTTTCTAGCTTTTAGAGCTCACATTGAGTCGATTTGGGCAGATTCGATTGCCCCTTTTACAATATTGTAATGTAAGAAGTAGAGCTCACAATGCTCCATTTCCACAATCTGGAGGCTCTCTCCTCTGCCAAAGTAAGTAAGAGCAAACCCGCACTTAGATTACAGAAGGAATAAGGCTGGGGAGTTAATAGGACTCTCACTCTGCGTATAGATTGAGGGAGAAATAGTGCTTACTTGTACAAGTAGCAAGGGTACCAAATGAGGCTGCAGCACTGTAAATCACCAAAATCCACAATCATAGTCATCACTAACACACAACTCTAGCTACTGTGAACGGGATGTTCCAACCATAGTGACATTCAAAAAGCCAGATGAGATTCTGTATTTTTTCGGAGACGAACATGAATTCAAATTTAGGATGTGGAACATGAACCTCTCAATCTGCAACAAACCAACACCATTGGAGATGTCAAAGTTTCTTAAGCTACATTTGGCTCAAAATATCACCACAAATCTCATCACAGGAAAGACATTTGTACTACAGTGAACACTTAAGGAAACATGGATAAAACTCATACAGTTGACGAGACACTCATGGAAATAGAAGATGCATGAAATAGACATAGAGGAGAACAAAAATAAAACAGCACCACCCTCAGAAACTGAGCTTGTGTCCAAATCCATCAATCTTTCAATTGTTTTTTTTTTTTTTGCTAAAATCAATCTTTTAATTGTTTCTTCCAGTAATTACAAATTTTATGCAAAACTGAAGAATTTCCGAAATTAGAGATACAACTCTTTACACTAGAGAATGGAAGTGACAAGCCAATGATTGTAACAGAAAAGCAAATGAAATGAATTTCCTCTACTGATATCTAGTGAAGATAAACCATTATATCCAACATAAACAATCACTAACTAATTCCACTAAGCAAGTTTGATGCGGAAATCGATTATAAACACAAGCTGTACAATTCTATGATTTTCCTGGAAAGGCTAATTAGGATCACGGACCAATTTTTGTCTGATTTAGTGGCAATTTTCTGGAAATCTCGGAGAGAGAAAATTAGGGTTTAAGCAATTGAATGATGAGGAAAATCCAAGAGAAGTAAGGGAGATATACCACCAATTCAATCTGCTCTTTGGCTCTATCGACGAGAGCCGCTTCGTACTGAAGAATCTCCGGCGCTGCCTTCTCGTTACGCCACGCCCTCTTCAAGAGCTCCACGTCCGATGTGGAGACCAAAGTCTCGAAATCCGCCGATCCCATTTCCGAAGTCGAAGCCATCAGATCTTCTTCTCTCTCTCTCTGATGATTTCTCAAAAAGGTAGAGAATGATTGAGATCCCGTCGATTTGGTCGAGCGGGAGATTTGGCGCCAAATCAAGGCAAGGGAAGGATTCTCTGATACTGAGCCTTGCAAAAGTGGTAGTCTTTTTAAAAGCCCATTCCCAGTGTCCAATTTCATTTGGATCAGCTTAGCATTGGTTTAATCGGTTCAGTAAACATTGAACCGAAGAAATTGAACGGTCAGTAGAAGAAAGTAGGCTTTTTAACTCGGTCAAACCAGATATAATTGGATTGAAGTGGTTCCATATTACTCGGTTCATAATGTTTCCTTTTTTCTAATTGTCTATATATTACTCGATATCAGAGAATTGTGTTCTCCCCACGC